ATACATTTTTATTTATATAAAAAAATGTTTTATAAATAAAACATCAAGTAGCAAAACAAATTTTTATGATTAAGGTGGTTATCAGGTAAAAAAATTATTTTTTGGTTGCCAATTTAATCATACACCAAAATTAGTGATGACATTCTATGCTAAAACTTACAACACTGATTGATTATTTGTAATAAACAAAAGCTTACTAGAAAAAATAAAAATAACGATTGTTTTTAAAACGACTTTTTCAATTTTAAAGGAAATTATTAATACAAAAACCTATAGTAAAATATCAATATATTCAAATGGAAGCAAGTTTAAGATTAGTTCTAGTAAGCTATTGCAGTAATCTATAAAGAAACAACCCTGAAAATTTGAACTCATTTGCAAATCTGGTTATTAAGATAAAAATGTTTCGCTTTTCGCAGTCAGGCAAAAAAAAAAAAAAAATTGAGAAATCAAGCTTCAAAGTTTAAAAACAAGTTATTAATTAAAAATTTCCTGAAAAATAAGAGTCTACTCTCTCTTTTTTTCCCCCCTTTTCAATATAAGCCTGATACATCTCCTTTTCCTTCAAGCCATTTTTTGCATTCGAGTTGAAATTTTAATCGTGTTCTTTACTCTTGATAAGTCCTACTTCTACGATCGTTAGATCATAAAACTTCCAGGAAAGAGCTACAAAAAATTAAAAGCTCTTGTAAACCTCTAAAGCCATCATTGTAATTTATTACAGCTGAAGCAACACCAAAATCTAGTTCCTTTTAAGTAACAAAACTGTTTTTTGGACACTTTTTCCAGATTACCTAGTTGAAAGCTTTATTTGGATTTTGAGTTGCGTCAAATTTTTTCTCTCTGCTTAACAAATAACATTAAAACATACGACTTTGCAAAAATTAACTCTGGTTCAAAAGTTTAGTTAATTATACAGACCCATAAAAAAAAAAAAAATAATCTAGTACTTTGGGTAATATATCTATAAAAAATTGCTATACGGTTGCTAAGTAGATTTTTTTTTACTTTTTCCAACTAAAACAAATTTTTTATATTATTTTATTAATAAATATATATCATGCTATATTGTTAAAAAGCCAGTTAAATTTTACACGAAATTGACAAATAAACTAAAAAAAACTTTTTTCACAAAAAGTGTTTTTTTTACCTGATAACCACTTTAACAACTACTATATCTACACAAAATAACAAACCAAAGCCAAAAAGAAATTCTAAGTGTTTACAAAAAACATTTAATTATATTTACAAATTGTAGATTGGCAAACGGAAAGACTTATTATAGATGTAATGTTTGTTGCGTAATGTTTTTTCACCATTGGCCTATCTATTTTGCATTTAAAGAAAGCCACTCTTCAAATAAAAAGTATGGCAGTTTGCCCCCAAATTAGGTTTACACCCCAAGTGCCTTATATGATTTAGGCCATCTACTTGTTTAAAAAATATGCTAATAAAGCATTGCAAGATAAATCTAAAATAAAATGGTAAAGGTCATGTTAAAGAATAAAGAAAACATAACAAGTAAATAATTCAAATCAATTTACCAGTTCTTGTTAATTATGCTTGATTATTTAAAATAAAAAAAACATAAGTTATTAAAAAAAAAACGCGACTTACTTGTACTTAATAGAACATCATCACTAACAGTATAAATATTTAGTGACCATTTCCATGATGGATTTACACATTATTTAAAAAAAAAAGACGGTTTAACCAATTTAAATTAAAATAATATATTGCCTGACAATATGTTTATTAAATTTAGTTTTCTCATTAATAAATAACAAAAAAAAAAAAAGGTTCACCTATTAATACATTACATAAACAGATTATATGACAATATTAGATTTTCATATAATTTAATAAACATATTTAAATCTTAGAACTGATAAGGCAGATATATACATATAGAAAAGGGTATTGAAGAACACCTCCGCAGAGTTTTTATTGTATAAGAGCATTATATAAGGTCGTGTTAAAATAAACTCTTTTGGGGTTGTTATACAGGTCATAAGTGAATGTAGTATTAAAAATATTATAAAAGTATTAAAAAGCATCCTACATTAATGCACAAAACTCCCAACATATAATTATGGTAAGCACAACATTTATACTATTTTTCAATTGTAACATTTTAAGAATTCTCATTAAATTAAAAAAACATAATCATTACTAAATAACATTATATCAATTTCTAGAGCTGTTTAATTAGTTACTGCCACGAAAATCATTTAACTCAACTTTTCACCTTATGGGGATGATGCAATACTAGAATGCATATATTTTTATTTTTGATCAAGTTATAGAAAGGTTTCACTAAGTGTTAATTTTTTGGATAAAACTATTAATTCAGAACAAATGTTTTTCCTTGCTTCTTTAACCAAGAAAAAAATTCTATAGAATATATAAAAACTTTTGAAACAATTGGCCTTTAGAAACTTTATAAAATTTCTATAGAATATCTATTAATTTCTATAGAAATTGCTAAACAATTTTTTTTTCCATAAAAAAAAAGTAGAAAAAAATATTTCAATTGGAAGTTAACAGAAACTCTATAGAAATTCTATAGAATTTTATAGAATTTCTATAGCCCATATCTAATCAAAAATTTTATAAAACTTTTTTTCCTGGGTACATATCATATTCTATAATGTAAATATTATTACATTAGTATAAAATAGTAATCCAAAAACATCTACAAATAAAAAAATAATTTTCTTGCTTAAATTTACATTGGTTAGAAATTTTTTAATTAAAGAAGTGTGAAACAGACATTTTTGCCTTTTTAGTGTTTTAATAATTAAGCCGTTCATATCAGTACTTAAAAAATCTACCTATAAATTGTTTGTAAAACTGTTTATCTGTGGGTAAAGCTACAATTAAGTAGTCTAAAATATATATTTTTTTTTCTTGTCGCGTAATCGACAGTGAAGACTTTTTAAATATACGGATTATTTATTGGCTTCTCTACATGCATTACCTTATCTGTGAATTTTATATATAGAATATATATCTAAAATCGTTTAATAGAGTATAAATCTGTCAAAATTTCAGGAAAAGAAACTTGGTCAAACAGAATTTCTTCCAAAATAATTATTATCCAAAGAACAAATATCATCAAAAATTAATCATTCAAATCTGGAATTAATCCTTACCTGTTTAAAATTTTAAATGAAATACATATCATCAAAACTAATTAATAAAATTAATTTTATTAGAAACCTAGAAATCATAAATTAGTTGACTAAACCTATCATAAATTAGTTTTATTAGAAACCAAGCAAAAATTAGTTGATTAAACCTATCATAAATTAGTTTTATTAGAAACCTATATTACTTCTATCATAAATTTCTACATATTCTACATAAACGAACTAATTAAGTGATTCATGTCGAATAAGCAATATTTTGCAATCTGGATTCAACAAAAAAAAACTTGTTCAAACTATGTATGAACAAATATTACTAAAACTATATGAGAAACTCTATAACTCAACAGTTTGCTGAGAAAGTGTCTGTGGATCTGAAAAAAGTATTTGACAAAATTGGCTATGTAACAATTTAATCGAAGTTATATAATTATAGTGCCTGCGGATTTGCTGTTTAATGGATTAAGTCTTACATATTTAATCGTTTACAACTTGTCATTATTGTTAACACATGTATGTTTGTATGTATGTATGTATGTATGAATGTATGTATGTATGTATGTATGTATGTATGTATGTATGTATGTATGTATGTATGTATGTATGTATGTATGTTTGTATGTATGTATGTATGTATGTATGTATGTATGTATGTATGTATGTATGTATGTATGTATGTATGTATGTATGTATGTATGTATGTATGTATGTATGTATGTATGTATGTATGTATGTATGTATGTATGTATGTATGTATGTATGTATGTATGTATGTATGTATGTATGTATGTATGTATGTATGTATGTAGGAAACCTACACTAAAACAACATTTATGCATGTATAGAAACAATCTAGAATATATGATTTTGCAAATGACCCCAGCCTGTTTGTCGTTAAAAAATCCTTAAAGAAACTAAATAATCATCATAACAATAACTTTTATGTTTGCTACACAAACACACATACATACATACATACATACACATACATACATACATACATACATACATACATACATACATACATACATACATACATACATACATACATACATACATACATACATACATACATACATACATACATACATACATACATACATACATACATACATACATACACACATACATACATACATACATACATACATACATACATACATACATACATACATACATACATACATTAATACATACATACATAAATATATACATACATAAATACATACATACATAAATACATACATACATAAATACATACATACATAAATACATATATACATACTTCCCTTCTATAAATTTTTTTTAATTCTAATATGCATAAATCTTTCATGTTTTTTGCCAATATTTGATTAAAGTGATATAGGTTTTTAAATTAAGCTTTATTAACTTAGTCTTAGAGCTATTTCATTAAAGATTGGTTTCATTATAGCAACTTTAAATAAGTTATGATAAATTTCAGATTTAATTTATTCATTTACTATTATAGTTAATAACTCTTAGAAGCTCTTGGGATGCAAAATTAAATGAATTTAGATGTACAATAAAAATATAATATAGAGATATATATTCTATTAAACGATACAAAGGGAGATTTGTTACATAAACTATACGTACTGATAGAAAAGACTTCAATGCACCTACACAAACTAATTTAGTGTTGTTAATAAGTTCAGTTTAAAATTATAATATATAATATAAATACAACATAAAAAAATATATTATAAAAAGTAATTAAAATAAAAAAAAAGCAATTAGTTTAAAAAAGCAATTTTTTCAATTATGTAGCAAATTATTCTTATATAGTTTTTAAATTCTATTTTTGGTATAAAAAAAAAACTTCTTGTTTAGATGTTTTTAATGACTTTGATGAGCATTTGTTAATACAAAATAACTTGATTGCAACGTTTGCATCATGGGAAAAAAGATACTATGTGATGTTTAAAGTAAATCCTTTATCATACTCACAAGTTTGGGGAAATGTTATTCATGTTACCATTGGAGGAGATTACCAGCGCAATGGAGATAGAAACCCTGCAGTATGGTTTATAGGTGATAGCTCAGGATCAATGCGTATTCATTTTTCAGTCAACGGAGATTCATTGGGATATATTGACACCCCTCCTCTATTGGTTAATAGCTGGTCTACCATTCAAATATGCCAAGATATTATTGAGGGAATTTATTTAGTATTAATATATATAAATGGAAATTTTATTCAGAAAATTGTTAACAATATGCCTCAAGCTTTTGAAAATGTTCTTGTTTATGCTTCAGATCCATGGTACCCTGCAAAAGATGGTTTTATTAAAGATCTCAAAATTATAACTGGAAATGACAGTAACAAATTTTTATTAATCTTTTTATTAATAATTTAAATTTTTTTGCGTTGATGAATTCTCTTTAAGAATAATTTTTTAGAAAGGGTAGGGTAGAGCAAGACATATTTAATAAATTTTGACATTCCAAGTATTAAAAAATTTATTTATTCAATTTTTTAAAAACTATTTTATTTGTTTTAGTTGTTTAAAAACTAGCTTTAGAAAGAATAAGATCATTTTATTAGAACGTTTCACCTTTTATTAAAAAAATCCTCTATGGTATGACAGCTAACCCCACCGTGGGGGCTAGTTATCATAATGTTAGACGCAAGTTGTCATAACTATGAATATATATATATATATATATATATATATATATATATATATATATATATATATATATATATATATATATATATATATATATATATATATAGGTAAATGCGTTTAAAAAAATCTGTGAAAAATATGTTTAAAAAAAAAGAATATCTTATTAGCCATTCATGTAAAAAAGCAACGCAATATAATTTTAACATTAAAACACTTAGAAGTAGACAATCAAAATTCATTATCAGAGTCACAATTATAAAAAATATATCTAGACCTTTCTGTTGTACATTCATCATATAGAATGCTTGAGTAAACACTAACATGAAAAATAGCGTTTGGTCAATTATCAACGACAGTCCGATATGAACAGAATCGCTACTTTGACTTCGCAAAATAATTTGGTTATTGAGGTGCAGGGACGCCGAGAGTTTTAATGACGCCCAAGACCTATCCACAATTAGGAGCCCCTATAAGCATGCATATTATTTGTTTATAAGCATGTACAATTATACAATTAAATGACCGTTTTATTGTTTTCAATACTGTTAGTTAGCATCCAAGAAATACATATGACTTGAAGACATTACTTGTGGGGTTCCACAAGGATCAATTCTTGGTCCATTATTATTCCTCGTTTATACTAACGATATCTACTTATCTTCTAACATACTTAACTTTGTCCTTTTTTCCGATGAGACGCAAGTGTTCTTTAGCCATACAAACATTAGCCTATTATTTAACACTGTTAATCAAGAACTTGAAAACCTGAACGAATGGTTTAAGGCTAACAAACTCTCCTTAAATGTCGAAAAAAGTAAATATATTCTTTTTACGAAATTATCAAAATCTGAAACCCTCCCCTTAAAACTACCTGATTTACTAATTGATAAAACTAAACTTAAACGAGAAAACTCAATCAAATTTTTAGGCGTAATTCTTAATGAACATCTTAACTGGAGTAATCATATCAAAGTAATAGAAAATAAGATATCAAAAATTATTGGTATTATGTATAAAACAAAACATCTCCTAAACACAAATTGTTTAAAAAATATTTATTTTGCATTTATTCATAGCTACATCAGCTACTGCAACATTATCTGGGCAAGTACTTATCCTTCAAAGTTAAATATGATCTACAAAATACAAAAACGAGCAATTCGCTTGATATTAAATGCAAATAAATACGCTAGTGCCAAACCACTACTAAGAGAAATTGGAGTGCCTAATGTCTATGAAATAAATATTCTTAATATACTTATTTTCATGTTTAAGTTTAAAAATGGTATGCTACCAAACATTTTCCAAACTTATTTTTTTTCTTTAAACTACAAATACGAAACTAAATACTCAAGAAATAACTTTATTATACCAAAAACATTATCAAAACAAGCTGATTTTTCGATATCTTGCCGAGGGCCGCGGTTATGGAACTTGCTTTTAACAAGTAATATAAAAACTTTAAATTCAACTCAACATTTTAAACGTGCAACAAAACAACACTTATTTGGTTTTGACACAAAGCAATTACTATCGTATTATTAAAAACTTTTGGTAATCTTAGTTATATAATGTCTTATAAATTAACTCAACATCACAATTATATTGTATGGTACTTAGAACATATATGATATTATTTTATTTTACAATACGTAATTTGTAAATGCAATATTTATTATATCGTACGCAATTTGTAGAATGAATGTAATACAGATTTATTTGATTTGTATGTATATATGAACGGACATATATTTGTGTGTACGTGTGCGTATGTGTGTGTGCGTGCCTGTATAATAAAAATAAAAGTAGAATAAAATAGAGAGTTAAAGAAAATAATAATAATGAGAAGAAATAATTAATACTTTTTTTTTTTTCTCTTTCTGCAAATATTATTTTGATTTTTAAGTTCTTCTCTTCTTAAAATCAGTTCTTTCTTTAGTTTCTTTTTTCCTTTTTCATTTTTATCGGCTGAATTTTTTAGTTATATTACGGGGCTGGATGATAAGATCATGTCTTCTGCCAGCGCCGGTCGAAACTTTAATGATATAATTTTTATGTTGTAAAAAAATCATTGTAAAGATTATTCATTTAATGACGAAATAAATTATAAAAAAAAAAAAAAAAAAAAAAAGAATTAAAACCACTTATGCAAAATATTCTTGATTAGGAATATTAAAAATTAATTTTGATAACTCTCTTTTCTTGCTTTTTTTTTTTCAAGCTAAATTCGAATAAGAGTGCATATAGATTGTACAATAGGCTATAAACCCTTAGAGAATATTTATTCAAGAAACCCTAAAGTATTTCCACAAATAAAAAATGAAAACTTATTCAAATTATTAAGATTCGAAATATATTCCATACTGTTGTCTTTTAGTTATCTTTTTTCCCAAGCTTTAATTTTTAGCGGATCTTAATCATTCAATCAAATAAATGAGAATTTTAAAAAAACAACAGTTTTCACAGTCTTATTTTTAATTGCAAATGCAGTATAAAGTCAATGCGTTCTTTGAGAAGAATTAGGCCTAGTATTTTTAGTTTTTGATCGTGATTGAATTGTTAAATAAACAATATTAGGCATTATTTGACATGCTTAAGTAGAGAAATTTACAAATGCAAAACTCTAGATGCAAACTAATTTACATCTTGCACTGTTTTTTACCATGGCAAGACAGCTCGACACAGAAATGAATTCTTGAGACAACCAAACAATTGTTTCCCAACCCAAGCTGCAGCTTTAACATGTACTTTGAGATTAAGATTTGAGATTGTACTGTTAGATTTTAGTACTCCAGGTTTACATACATTGCATGCTGAAATTATATTGCGTCCGTTATCGTCAATATCAATCATGGTATTAGTTTATAGACAACCAACTTGCATTATTTGCACTTCTCGATGTTTAAATTTACAAGTTAGTTCTCGATGTTTAAATTCACAAGTGCGACTAACTTACAGCGCTGTCGGTATCCGCCAGCAGTTTTTCATAATCAAAGAAAAACTATTTAACATTGATAACTCATATGATCTTACCATCATCGGTGTATAATTTCGTATGTTTATTAACGCAGTTTGTTAAATCATTTTGAAATAGAAAAAAAGCCGTAATGGAAAAACTTATTGTTTAGAGACACGACTCGTTAGACTTTTTCACTCAGATGTTTATTCTACAATTATTACGCCTTGTTGTCTATTAGCTAGCCAACTAAAAATGCAGTTGATTAGCTGGCCTCAAATGTCGTAAGCATCAATTTTATAAAGAAATTATTGTATGACGTTGTGTTGAATGCTTTAGCAAAATTTTAAAATTAGGTTAACTAGGTGTCCATGGTAAACTGCTTTCGCTAAAATTTACGGGATTCAATCAGGTCCATGAGCAATCTTTGAAATTAGGGATGGCAATCCCGGAATCCCGGGATCCCGAAATCCAGGGATTTCGTACAAGTTGTTCATCCCAAAATCCTGGGAATAGTCTCCGAAATTTCTCGAGATTTCGGGATCGTCGAAAAAAAAGGAAAAGTAATATAGTTTAAGCTCGTAGTTGTAGTTTAGTAATTTTTATGTCTTCTTTAGCATAGTAGCTGTTTGGTTGTGAAATTATTTATTCTCTTTTCAGTGTTTTCCTTTGAAAACTCTATTTTCCTGTATTTTACTAATATAAATATATATATATATATATATATATATATATATATATATATATACCTATATATATATATATATATATATATATATATATATATATATATATATATATATATATATATATATACATATAATATACTAGTTTTGATATTATATACATATGTATATATTTATATATATACATATATAAATATACTAGTTTTGATATTATACTATATATAATATATACTATAATATTAAAAATTAGTATATTATAAAAATAAATAGAATTTTAGTGCTTGCTAGTAAAAAGTGCATGAGTTTTTAATAAAAGGTATATATTAATTTAATTTTGAATTTTCTGCTTCCAAAAGTATGCGCAATTTTATTTCCATTTTTATATTCATTTATTTTAATTTTCAAATATGTGATTTATGAAATTGCGTGATATACGAAAGTTTTTTTTTTAAGCCAGGCATTTTTAAGTTATTTTTATTTATACTGTGTTACCATTTTAAGGCATTGTTTTATAATTTATAACGGTTAGGTTTATTAATTTTTAAAATTCTAAGATAAGTTTTAATACAAAATTAAGTTAAAATATGATTCAACTTAATTTTAAAGGTTCATTCAATTGTCAAATATTTTAGTTATATTATCATTAAATTAATCATTTTTAAGTGTTTAATGAGTGCTTAAAAAGTATTCAATTGCGTTTGGGATAGTCCATAAATTACGCTAAAAATAGTTTAAGAACAGAAGTAGGAGATATAAAGCTCTTTTATGCTATATATATATATATATATATATATATATATATATATATATATATATATATATATATATATATATATATATATATATATATATATATATATATATATATATATATATATATATATATATATATATATATATATGTATATATATATATGTATATATATATATATATATATATATGTATATATATATATATATATATATATATATATATATATATATATATATATATATAAATATATATATATACATATATATATATATATATATATATATATATATATA